TATCTTGTTGTTTCTGTTGTCATATTTTTCTTTGTATCTTGTTGTTTCTATTGTCATATTTTTCTTCGATGCATAACTGAGTTATGTAAGTTCCTATCTGGCGTTGTCAATAGCTATTAGAATTAAATGCTAGATTTCAAGAATGAAAGTTTATCTTTATCGTATTCAATATAATCTCAAGGCTAAAGCCAGTAAGAAAATCTCTCCTACCAAACGACCAAAGATATTTTTAGGCAGTAATGAAATCCAATTGGTTAGACCAAGGCTTAAAGGTAAGTTATACAGAGTTGTGGTTAGACCAGCATTGTTGTATGTGTCAAAGTACTGGCTAGTTAAGTATGCCCACATTGAGAAGATAAAGGTAGCGGTGATAGGATGCTCGATTAGATGTGTAGGCATAGTAGGAGAGATATAATAAGGAATAAAGTTATACAGGGCGAGGTGGGAGTACCTCCGTGACAGACAAGATAAAGAAAGCGACGTTGAAATGAATGTGAAGAGGAGGTTAAATACCAGGATTTTTGCTGTGAAAGGGATCGAACCCATGACATATGACTAATCCATACATCTAGTGTTGTGCTCTCATCAATAGATCAAGACCCTGCGAACTTAAGCATTGACATATTTAGCATATCCAAAATTTGTATATATTGGGATAGTCACGACATGACTACATCTAGCTCCTACCAGAGATGAAGATTTTAGAAATATATGAATGTGCCAGACAAAAGAAGGTCAATCACTTACCGTCCTAAAATAAGCGCAGTCAGAGCAGTTGTTCCAGAGGTATTATCAAGTGATTGGGTATCAGCCAGTGCATTATCAGCTTTAACAAAAGCATTCCTGATAGCTCTTTTGACCATCGATGGAATATGCATATCCTCTACAATAAAGGGAATAAAAATATTAAAGGTGGACAATTACAGACTTTCTTTATTAGCTTACTGCAGCAATCAAGCTATTCAATCTCAAGACAAAGAAAATTTTATATAATTGAGATCTTGTTTTGACAGCTTAATAGTCTTTTAGTCTTGCCAGAGACTAGAGAAACTTATATGCTAGTAAAAGATGTAGAAAACTTCTTGTGCTAGCTTGGTATAAAACAGACTTACCTGGAGCAACATGCGCATCAAGAACGCATATATCCGACCCCAACTTGCTTGGAATCAAAGTTTGTAGTTGCATGTTACAGTCTTACAGATAAACTTTTTTTTACCTTGTTCATACTATATAAATTCAGCCTTTTTATTTCATGAAACCCCTACCAAGGTTGTCATTTTTATTGTTAGATGAAGAAAACTCTTGAATTTTGATAGGATATGGGAGAAGGAGCCGATAAGAACTCGGAAATTTATGTACTAATTTTGTATTTAATTTTCCATATAGATCAAAGTCTTAAGAAGGATGTATGAATGTATTTTTTACTTCTTTGTATTTTGGTGCGTCATTTCTCTATTAGACTCTTAATTTAGTTTTGTATGAATGTTTTATTTCCATAAGTCTATATTTTTCTTTGGGCTTAAATTAACAATTTGTGACTTTATTGAGAGTTTGTTGACTATTAACAAAGTTCAGAAATTACAGTTAGTAGCTCAAAAAGAAGTAATCCATATGATAAATTCCATATTCTTCTTTACTGAATGATTGCAGGTTTCTCCACTACAAGGGTTAATGTGCAGTCCATCAACCCCACTCCTTTGTATAATGCTAGTACTGCTTTGTTGCCAAATCTAGCTTCACTGTACATGCTTTTGGCCATTTGCACCAAAAATAAAATAAAATCTTTAAACGAACCACATACCATATAAAAGCTATCAAATAAATGTAAAGAAATTCAAAATAATTGGACAAAATATTCTGGAAAACAAACAGGATCAATCTAAACAAATTCTACTCACACTCAACATCAGCAACCGGTTCTACGGAAACAAGTAGAGTAGTATTAGAAACTCTGGGAAGAGCTAACAAACTTTCTATCATTTTTGAACAACCACGGTTAGCTGGGACTATAACCAGTTTCTCCAGATTTTTTGCATGCTCAAAAGTACTTCATCAGTTCAGTTTGCTCTGTTGTCGTGTCAAATGTGAGGGGACTCCACTGTAAATGAACTTCAAAATTTTCAGATTCCACAACGAACATATAAATATGTTGTCATAATTGTCTTCCAACACATCCACGTCTTTACGCCAGTAATTTAAGAAAGGGCAGTCCTAAGGATATAGAAGAACCACAAAACAGAATATAATTAAATGAGGGGCAAAAGCTTAACAACATATATCAACAACAGACAAGCAAGTGAAACACTTTTCAGAAATAAATATAGATAGACGAGATTAAGTACATTTTTATGTGAAGTTGTATGAGATCAATGGGCATGTAGTAGTAATGTTTTTATGTGACCAAAACACTATATCAAACACAATTCTCTCTAACTAAACAGAACAGACACATGAAGAAAACAAAATGAGTGAAGACAAAACAAAAGTATTTCGAAACATTAAATCAGTTGAAAACATGCATACTTACCCCTTTAAGATGTATTGTCAAATTCTCTAGACAAGGAGTTGAACTTAATAGTCTGTCAATGCCAAGGAAGGTATATTTGTTAATCCTAGCATTTATTGTCAGTTGTTTGCACTCCAACAACGGTAATGAAACATCTTCGTTTTGCAACACCAACACAGAAATTATCTATACAGGAGATAGAAGTAGATTCATCTTAGTATAATGAGTATCAGAATATCAATTTATAAGGCTTAATAACATACCAAACTAAATATCACTAGTAGGCCATCCTCTAGTTTTTCTGTCGTGCAATTTAGTGTGTGATTTACTTCTAGGTTTTGCTGATGACCTACTCTTTTTCTTGCAAAGGCAAACTTCATTATATGAAAGCTTCAACAAATTCTCTCAAGCTTTTGAACTTGTTGCCAATTTGAGTAACAGTTTTGTCAATTTTTGAGGTGCCAAGCCTGAAACTCAGGAACAAAGGGGAGAGTTGTTAATCATATCTTTGGCAAAATAATTTTAGATTTTTTCTAACTGTTGTGTAAAATCTCTTGTTTAAATACTATATATTCTTTTACATATTTCATGAGTTACTTCATGTCCTAAAAGAGAGAGATGCTTGTTCAAATCTCGTCTCCACTCTAAATTAGAGACATTGAGTGAGTTATGAAGTCATGGACAGTAAACTAACCTCAATCTACAAAGATGGGATGATTAGCTCTTTAGCACATGCTACGCTTGTCAAGTGATCTTTCACCATGCTTTTGCCAATTACTTCATCTAATTCATAGAAGTTGTACAAGTTGTAAGTAAGATCAGCATGGACCAAAGACGACAGGTTGCTGAGCATAATTTTCACACCATCAAAAACCACTTGAATCTTTAAATGTTGAACATATGGAGCAACAATTTCAAAGTAGTGACAATCAGCTTCGATACAGTCGGGAGAATATCTGTATTCAGTCAATTCCAGTCTCTTACATTTTGAGGAAGTTAAATGCAAACGATGAAAGCCACAAAATTCAGTTAGCTTCAAAGATTCCAGTTGCTGACAATTCGATGTTATTTGTTCCATTTGTTCATCACTGAGAGCGATAAATGATAGCGTTAAATTTTTTAGGGGAGTCCAATTGAGTATACAATCTTCTGGTATTATGCAATAGTTGCATTTTAGTTTTATAATTGATGAACTGCTGCAAAGATCCTGTGGCAAGCTATACACATTAAATTATAAAATAAGTTGGACTCTAAATTACTATTATATGAAATTTACATAGCATTCTTATTTGGAAACTTTAGTTACTCGGTAAGTGAACAAAAATAAAATAAAAAGAAATGAGAAAGTTTCCTAAATGATAATTATAAGCTTCACCTCCCCGCGTTAAGTTTGTGTATATAGATAGAGTCATAGTCAAAATATGACTATTAGAAAAGCTTTTGTGATCCATCATACTAATAACTCAAACTGATCACTAGAAAATAATGGCAAAAACAAGTGTTTCTCTAAATAGAAAAGCTTGTGTGATGAAGAAGACAATGGAGCTTTCAGTTCTGTGCGACATCAAGGTTTGTGCAATTATCGTTGATACAGATGGGACTACCGTCGAAACATGACCAAGAAATTCCACTCATCTCAACTCAATTCTTGATCAGTACCGAAAAAAACATCCTCTGAGAAAAACAGAGCAACAATGTTGTTGTTGATGAAAATAATCTCAAAGATGTTTTGTCGAAATTGAATTCCAAGATTGAAGCTGTCAACAAGAGAATTGAATTCTTGAAAGGGAAATCAATAATGAATGGTGATGGAGAAAGAGAAGAATTTAGTGAAATGTTGAAAGAGATTGATTATTGGAAGCTCTAATATTCAAGAAACAGAGTTGTGTGATGATTTTGTAAGTGCTTGGGCTTTAATGTAAAAATATTGAATGAAGCTAAATATTGTTTATGGTATCTGTCCTCCTCTATATTTTAAGCGAAGTAATACTAGTATTTTGCACCAGCAATGCTTCTGTCATTCTTTGTCTGTTTATCAATTGATGAGGTGGTTATGACAACAAAATATGCCAAAGATATCATAGGAATGCCATACATCTAGGTCAAGATCCTCCACTCCTTTCTTCAATACAATTTCAAGTCATTTGTCAAGATTAGCAGCAATAGCTACTACAAATGACGGCAGCACGACTCTCCAGGATCTCTATTACATATTATGCGAGCAAACATGAATGGCGATATGTCCACTAGAAGGGTTAATGTCATGTGCAGTCCATCAACCCCACTACTTTGTATAATACTACTGCTTTATTGCCGCCTGCAAATATAACTAGTATGGCTGGTACAACCCAGCCATATCGACCTTCTTTCTTGATGCTTTTGACTAAAAAAAATAATCTCCTTTTGCATCAAAAAAATTAATCTTTACACTAACCACATACATAAAAGCTATCGAATAAATGTAAAGAGATACATAATAATTGAACAAAATATTCTGGGAAACAAACGGAATCAATCTAAATAAATTCTACTCAGTACTCAACACCAGCAACCGATTCTAAGGAGACAACTACAGTACTATTAGAAACTCTGGGAAGAGCTAACAAACTTTGTATCACTTTTGAACAATCACTGTTCTCTGCCACTATAACCAGTTTCTCCAGATATTTTGCGTGGTCAAACAAACACTTCATCAGTTCAGTAAGCTCTGTTGTCGTGTCATCCTCTATTAAGGGACTCCACTGTAAAATAACCTTTAAAATTTTCAGATTGCGCAACGAACCTATGATGAATATGTTTTCATAGTTGTCTTCCAACTCATCCATGTCTTCACACCAGTAATTTAAGAAAGTGCAGTCCTAAGGATACAGAAGAACCACAAAACAGAATATAATTAAATGAGGGGCAAAAGCTAACAACATATATCAACAATAGAAAGCAAGTGAAACACTTGACAGAAATAAATATTGATAGACGAGATCTTTCATCAACAAGATTCAGTACATTTTTATGTTGCAGTTGTAGGTGATCAATGGGCGTGTAATAGTAACACTTTAATGCCAAACAAAACAGGAACTACTTAAGTATTCATTGTAAAAAATAGTCTTGAGTGCAGCATAACTTGGGTCACACATAAAAATCAGAACCCTATATCAAACGCTATTCTCTCTAACTAAATAGAACAGACACATGAAGAAAAAGAATAAAATGAGTGAAGAAAAAACAAAAGTATTTCGAAGCATTAAATCAGTTGAAAACATGCATACGTACCACTTTAAGATGTATTGTCAATTTCTCTAGACAAGGAGTTGAACTTAAGAGTCTGTCGATGCCAAGGAAGGCATATTTGCTAATCCAAGAATTTATCGTCAATCGTTTGCCCTCCAATAACAGTAATGAAACATCTTCTTTTTGCAATATCAACATGGAAATCATCTATACAGGAGATAGAAGTAGATTCATCTAAGTGTATTGAGGAACATAATATCAAATTTATAAGGCTTAAAAATACTCCCTCCGACCTCTAGTTTTACTCTCGTACAATTTAGTGTGTGATTTACTACTTTGCACCTTGACGGAAAGGACTAAAGGCAGAGGCCGGCTGAGGATTGTTAAGAAAATTGAGCTACCAGAGAAAGCAATATCTGTAAATCATTTTTAACCCCAGTAACAGCAGCAAATGCGATAGGTGTTAAAGGACCTGTTGACAATTTTACCGTTGAAGTCCCCCGAAGAGGTACCTATTAGCAATATATACTAAGAAGCCGGAGCTGGCATGTGCAGGTAGCACTGCACAATCACCCCCACTCCTACTGCTATAATCACTATGTCAAGGCACCCGACCGCAGGCAGGCAAGCATCTCAAAGCTAAAGGACATTCAAAATTGGGCTAGTCTGTTTACTGGTAACACATTAGCATCGCGAGGAATGAATTTGGAGTATGTTTCATCTCCGAAGAAATATCAAAGAATTTAGGCCAATATCTTGTTGTACTGTCTTGTAAAAGACTATATCTAAAATCATGAGAAGTAGATTGCAAGGAGTGAAGTATATTAGCAAAGAAATCAAAGTCTTTCAAAATTAGCAAAGAAGAACACAAGCTGACTAGGCACAATATTGATTAGTCTGCTATATGAGGAAACATGTGCATATGTTGTTGGGACCTATTCCAGTTTTGGTAATAAAGATGATGTTTACCAACAAAACATTAATATTACTTAAAGCCATTAAACAGGTCATCTATATACTAATATAAATAACAAAGAGATGAGCTATATATATTCATGTTTGCATTGCAAAAAAGACATTGTAGAGTAAACTGACCTCGATATACAAGGATGGGATGATTAGCTCATTAGCACATGCTACACTTGTAAAGTGATATTTCACTATGCTTTTGTCAATTACATCATCTAATTCACGGAAGTCATACAAGTTGTAAGTAAGATCAGCATGGATCAAAGACGACAGGTCCCCGAGCCTAATTCCCACACCCTCAAAATTCCCTGAAATCCTAAAATGTTGAACATATGGAGCAACAATTTCAAAGTAACACTCATCTCCCTTATAGTCAAGAGGATGTGTGTGGTTACTCAATTCAAATCTCGTACATTTTGGGGAAGTTAAATGCAAACGATAAAAACCACAAAAACCACAAAAACCACACAGCTTCAACGATTCCAGGTGATGACAATTTGATGTTATTTGTCTCATGTGTTCCTCACTGAGAAGCACAATGTTAGTGTTAAACTCTTTAGGGATGTGCAATTCAGTATACGATCTTCTGGTATTTTGCAAAACTTGAATTTTAGTTTTACAAGTGATGAACTGCCGCAAAGTTCCTGTGGCAAGCTATACAGATCACTTTCCAAATAATAGCCCAAGAATTCGTCGCAACCCCTTAAATCTAGGTCAAGATTCTCCACTTTTTTCTTCAATACAATTTCAAGCCATTTGCCGCGTTTGGAACTATAATTTGACAGAGCAATGTTAGATCTGAAATGTAGAGTGAAGCTTTCAATTTTAGAGGAGTTAAGAAGAGGTAATGCATTGTGGATGAAGGAAATAAACCTCTTAGCAGACCAACCAGTGTTCGAGCGGTAACAATTCAGGTCGTGGATACAAGTCCAGATGTTTTGCCAACGTTTAGAGAGAATAGTTGTTGTGCAAACATCTGTAATGGGGATTTTAGAAAGAATTTTAACAATAACAGAATCTGGCAACGCACTGATCCAATCAATTCCAGTTTCTGCCTCAATCTAGTCTGTTTTTGCACAATTGCGAGGGGACGGGTCCTGCTCCTCCATCCTCCTTGTCACACTGCTTTCCCCTTTCAAAATTTTAGTGTGAAAATCAGCAGCTGTTTCAAGCGTCTGAGTTGAAATTTTGTGGGATGTAATAAAAGGTTTAGTGTGAAAATTTCATGCCTACCTTTTATGGATGTAATAAAATGTAGACATTGAAATTTTGTGAGATTCTACTGCAATTTGAGTTGGGTTTTACAAAGTGGGTTGAATTCTAATTATTAGGATTCACGGGGGCTATTTAATTCTAAACCTTAATTCATGTCTATATATAAGATATTATATTTCCTTAAAAGTATATTGAAAATTTGCTTAGTCGAGCTGTTCAGATTATTATTAAAATATGTAACCCTTGAAATCATTGTGCATTTTAATGTTTTATTCTAGACATTTTGGTGAGTAATGATATCAAAAAGTGTAGACAGAAGCAGAGCTGTGTGAATTACTTAAAAATGATCCCATAAACTGTACATTAGTCTGCAATAGAAAGAGCAACTTATATATAAAGAAAAAGGGCCAGCTTAAATCATTAAAAAGCTTCCTCATAATTTGCATTGCTATCTGTGAGCTTTTTTTTGGTTGATTCCGATTTCTGTTCGTGTGCTTGTTGTTGACTCTTACTCAAATTCAATTATTGATGATTTTTGGGTATGTGAGTTTATGTAAGAGTTCATCACGGATGCCGAATGAGTGCAATGACAAGTTTATTTTGTAAATAATGTTTACTGCTTTGTAAGTTGTTGAACTGATTGGAGTGCTAACACTTTTACGCACCAAGTTTCTTTATCAATGGTCAAACTAATTACTTACTCCGTTTCTTAGATACGTGTTTCAGTGCGACTGCCCAGGTCCATGCCTACACACTTTTGTGGTAGAACTCATTGGGTCTGAGATTTTTGTGCCGCCAAATGTGTTTCAAAAGGAAAAGAAATTGTTCACCCTCTCTAGACTTTTTGAAAAAGGTGAGCTTGTTAATCCATATTGATCATTTATGATGTTGCGTTTACCATGCACACATATTTAATTGACAACTATGGTGCATCAGGTTCAACATCAGGTTGTTCAGACAAGCCACATACTCCAACTTTAAAATGGTTTAATACGAACATAAAACTATGTTCATACCGTTCCTTGAATCTTTAATTTTTCATTTGTTAAGGTTGTTTGACATGTGTAGATAAAATATGGCTGATATTATAGGTCACACTTTGATTATTTTCCGTTAAGAAAGGTTCATAACTTGGCTCGGCTGAAAAGTTTGAATACGAATCAACATGATTTTGTTATGGTAGTGGTACAATTAAGCTAACTTTATGCACTATGCAACTCTACTATCAAATCATTACAGAACTTTTATTTCACCCTGCTATTGAAAAATTCCTACATGAATTGACAATGGTTTTTTTAATTCTACATATTCTCACTCCAAATAAACGTGTGAATTATGGTTGTTCTATCGGAAGATGATCATCTTCGCCACATTATTGATACAATGACTCTTTGGTTTGCTCAAGTAACCTATTGCAGCGACAAAGTTACATTTTTAGGAGGCGAAGACAAAACTTGAAATAAGGATTTAGGAGGTGAAGACAAAACTTGAAATAAGGATTCAGAAGAATTTAGAAGAATGTAAAGATATATATATATATATATATTGATAGAAAATTAACTGCAACATAGATGAAAAGGAAAAACTCGCAAGTGTGGAAATTTTCTCTGTTTAGATACTGCTGAATTATCAGTTACAAGAGTCCTTAAATAGAAAAGGTTATAAATAAAAAACACGTCTACTCTCCTAATAATTCTGAATATAAAAACTGACTTCACTACTCCTATAGCCAAAAGACTAGGAAACAACTTAATGACTCCTAATCAAATGCAACAACCTAATAACTACTAAACCACATCTGATCATGTTGCCAACATTCCCTCCCTTAAACTGAAACATCTTTTAGTTTAATTTGCAAACACCAAGTTGATCGCGTAGCTTTAGAAAGGACACTGGTTTCAGGGGCTTTGTGAATATGTCTGCAACCTTCTCTTCACTTCTACAATAAATAAGACTAATCTTTGCATCCTTAGTCATCCTTAGTCAGATCACGCAAGAAGTGATACTTCACATCTATATGCTTACTTCGTCCATGTTCAACTGGATTCTTTGAAAGATTAATTGCCGAAGTATTGTCACAATAGATTGGCGTTGGTCTTTCCTGCTTAAAATGAAGTTATTCAAGAATATTCCTTAGCCAAACAGCTTGACAAGCACACGATGTTGTAGCTACATACTCTGCCTTGGTAGTCGACAAAGTAACAATAGGTTTCTTCTTTGAAGACCAAGAAATAACTCCAGAGCCCAACATAAAAACATATCCTGATGTGCTTTTCCTGTCTTCAAGATTTCCAGCATAGTATCTATCAGTGTAACCAACTAAATCTCCAGCTGCTCTCATCTGATAAAGAATTCCAAGGTCACTGGTACCATTCAAGTACCGTGGGATCCTCTTGGCAGCTTGTAGATGCATTTCTTTTGGACTCTCCATGAATCTGCTAATGAGACTTACAATGTGCATAACATCAGGCCATGTTGCCGTCAAGTACATCAAGCTTCCAACGATTTGCTTGTATAAAGTGCTGTCCACTTTTCTCCCTTTAGGTTTTTTGTCGAGCTTCAGACCCTTCTCCATTGGTGTTCTCACAGTGTTGCTATTTTTCATCTGGAATCTGTCAAGAATATCTTGCACATATTTCTTTTGAGAAACAAAAATACCATCAGCAGATTGATTCACTTCTAAACCAAGAAAATAATGCATCATACCCAAATCGGACATGTCAAACTCAACCATTATGGACTTCTTAATGTTCTCAATCATAGACACATCACTTCCTGTATAAATTAAATCATCCACATATAAACACACCATTAAGACCCCTGAACCTTTCCTTTTTATATAAAGAGTATGTTCATATGGACACTTTCAAAATCCCTCCTTTGAAAAATAAGTATCTATGCAACTATACCAAGCTCTTGGAGCTTGTTTTAGTCCATATTGAGCCTTTTTCAATCTAAGCACTTTATTCTCACCACCAAATTTCACATAGCCAGTAGGTTGTTCAATAAATATCTTTTCTTGAAGTTCACCATGTAGGAAGGCAGATTTCACGTCCAACTGATAGATTTTCCAAGCATTTTGAGCAGCCAAAGCAATCACCAATTTGATGGTATCTAAACGAGCAATGAGAGAAAACACTTCTACATAGTCAACATCATATTCTTGCTTGTAGCCTTTTGGTACTAAGCGAGCTTTGAACTTGTCGACCTCTCCGAATTCCTTCAACTTTGTTTTGTAAACCCATTTGACACCAATGGTTTTCTAATTTTGTGGAGGATTTGTCAACTCCCAAGTATCATTTTTTTTTCAATTGATCTAATCTCCTCATCCATGGCTTGCTGCCACTTCAGGTCTTTAACGACATCGGCAAAAGATATAGGATCACAATATGAAAATAAAGAAAAATGACTTACTGTATTTCTAGATTTTCTAGTCCCATATACCTCATAATTTTCCAACCATCTTGGTGCCCCTCTATTACGTTGTGGACGTTCATTGTTGAACTGATAATCACCTGATTCATGTTCAACACTTTCAACATCCTGTACAATTGGACTTGCTTGTGAACTGATCTCCAAAGGTCGTTCTGGTTCCTTTTCTTCTTCAACAGAAACTGGAATATGTTGAAACGAATTGTTATCACCCCAATTCCAGATTGCTTCTTCATTAAAAATAACATCTCGGCTAACAACTATTTTCTTGGTAATAGGATTGAACAAGCGATAAGCTTTTGATTTGTGACTAATACCAAGGAAAATGCACTTCTGACCTTTATCGTCCAACTTTTTCCTTGCCGCATCTGGAATATGTGCATATGCTATACACCCAAAAATCTGAAAGTACTCAACATTTGGTTTACGCCTACTCCAAGCTTCATGAGGTGTCATACTTTGAATAGAGCTGGTAGGACATATATTCAATATATGAACGCTCCAACTAACCGCTTCTGCCCAAAAGTCTCTTGGTAAGTGACTTCTCTTCAAAAGACTACGCACCATATCAAGAATTGTGCGATTTTTCCTTTCCCACATACCATTCTGTTGAGGTGTGTAGGTTGCAGTAAGGTGCCTTTTAATTCCATGTTTCTCACAAAATTCTACAAATTCTAGTGAGTTATATTCACCACCTCGATCAGTCTGCAAACACTTAATTTGACAACCTACTTCATTTTCAACAAGCACTCTAAACTTCTTAAAAGTTTCAAATGCTTCAAATTTTTCTCTTAAGAAAAAAACCCAAGTATTTCTGCTATAATCATCAATGAAGCTAATGAAATAGCGTTTACCTCCATTAGATATAGGACTTATCGAACCACAGATATTTGAGTGCACCAACTCCAATACCTTCTTTGCCCTCCAAGAATTGCGTTTTGGAAATGGTTCACGATGTTGCTTGCTAATAGGACACTCTTCACATAATTTAATGGGAGATTCAAGCTCTGGAAGACCCAACACCAATTTCTTTTATTTTAGAAACTTCAAGCTTCCAAAATTAAAATGCCCATAGCGAAAATGCCACTTCCAGGAATCCCCTTTAACTTTTGCAAATAGACAAGATTTTGTGGAGTTGTGAAGATATAAAGGGAACAAGTGATTTGATGACATGTTAATCTGTGCGATTAACCCCAAATGAGAATCTCGTATCTTACAAACTTCACCTTTGATATTAAGTTCATATCCCTTTTCTTAAAGTTGCCCAACACTTAGTAGATTTGTCTTCAACGCAGGGACATAAAACACATCACTGATGGTATGAATGGAGTTGACTTGAACCTTCCCTTTTCCCATGGCAGAGACCACTGAATTATCTCCAAATCTCACAGTATCTCAAAAAGTTTCATCCATCTCTGAGAATGCTTCTTTTTGCCCAGACATGTGATTACTACAGCCTGTATCGAGATACCATACATCATTTGAAGCTTTCTCTTTGGTAGTGTATGCCATCAAAAGTGAAATCTCCTCTTCTTCTCCCTTTGTTTCCACATCTTCCTTCGTTTCTGCAAAGTTAGATTTGCCACCACTCTTCCTATTTAAATTGGTGCGACACTCAGATCGATAGTTTCCAAATCGATGGCATCGATAGTATTCAATTTGAGACTTGTCACGTCTTTTTTCTTTTTCCTGGGAATCTGCAGTGCTGCTCTTCTCCTTCTCCCGGTGCCAATTATTTCCCTTCCATTTGACTTCCTCCTGATTTGTACCTTTCGAAGACATTGCTGCCTTCAATGCTACTTCATCCTTGTCCTGTTGGTTTATTTTCAGTTCATGAACCAACAAAGAACCCTACAGCTCATCAAGAGAAAGAGTATCGATATCTTTGAATTCTTCAATGGAGCAAACAATATAATTGAACTTTGTTGTCATTGAGCGAAGTATTTTCTCAATAATTCTAACATCCTCCAGTCTTTCACCATGAATTCACATTTTGTTTACGATAGCCAACGTCCTAGAGAAATAATATGTTACCGATTCACCACCTTGCATACGTAAAGTCTCGAACTCACCACAGAGTGCTTGAAGCTTCACTCATTTTGCCTTCGTTGTTCCTTGATACTTCTTCTTCATGGAATCCCATATTTGTTTGGAAGTATCCTTGCAAAGAATGGTTTCCAGTATTGAGCGATCAATAGCCTGAAAAAGGTAATTTTTCGCTTTGAGATCCTTCAATCTTAGACTATCCAACTCTGCCTTTTGTGTTTTCGACGAGGCAGTATCAATTGCTGGCTCTTGCACGCCAATACTGACAACTGGCCAAAACTCTTTGGACCTAAGGAAGTTCTCCATCAACATGCTCCAATGGTCGTAATGACCATGAAAGCGCGGAATAGCAGCCTGGAAAAAATTTTCAGAAGCCATCTTTTGTTGCTGCAATAGTACTTCAAAAAAGAAGAAAAAACTTTCTGGCTCGGCTACCAAATGATAGAAAATTAATTGCAGCAAAGATAAAAAGAAAAGACTCGCAAGTGTGGAAATTTTCTCTGTATAGATACTGCTGAATTCTCAGTTACAAGAGTCCTTAAATAGAAAACGTTATAAATAAAAAACACGTTTACTCTCCTAATAATTCTGAATATAAAAACTGACTCCACTACTCCTATAACCTAAAGACTAGGAAACAACTTAATAACTCCTAAACAAATGCAACAACCTAATAACTACTAAACCACATCTGATCACGTTGCCAACATATATTCAGAAGAATGTAAAGATATATATATATATATAATATTTGTTATAATTTATATGTATTTATATTCTTATATTCTTATTCATAATTATATAACAATAGTATTAAATAGAATGTGATAGTATTTATTCTAATCAATGTATATTTACATTTTTGTACATAAATATTATGACTTTATAAGGATATTTCGTAATTCAACTTTTAATTTGAGGGCTTCCCTAATTTCTGGACACATGTTTAATTTTGTACGTGTATTCCATGTGAACTTTTATAGATTTGTTAGAACGATAAATTTTTTTATGAAATCATATATGTCAAACTTATGATCATTATCATCATCTATCGAATTCCCCTGTTTCAGTCGATTTCCCCCAAAACCCTTCAAATGTACCAAACCAATCGATGGCCTACATGGAAAATTTCCAGTATGGATATTCTGGATTGATGCAAGATAACTCGATAATGAGGCTTTTGATAGATAACAATTATGGATCAGAATCAAAACAAAGTTTGAGGGGTTACGAAGATCATGACTTCAACTGGCCCAGTGGAGATCGATTGTCTATGGAATTATTGATATTTGAGAGCTGGATAAACATTTAGTAGGGACTTGAAAAATGCAATAGATATAGAAAGGGGAGGGGGAAAATATTTAGAATTGAATGTGGGACAGTGGAATTGTGCTAATTATTCCCAGATATTGTCTTAGATCATTTGCAGTAGTACTACATATCTGTTGTGTGTAGATTTGTCTCCACTCGAAATAATACATAAGTTAATTGGTTTGTTA